GGTGCCCAAAACTTGGTTGTTTGTAAACCAGGCAGTGTAATTTTTCTCAGCAGTGATGCCGAGTGGCCAGTTTTACTACTGGTGGTAGATTTGGGAGACAACCATAATATTCATGAGGATTGTAGCGTGTTTTGGTGGTGATTGCACAGGAGAATTGAGTTTCAAACTAATTTTGTCTGTGGTAAGTCTTTATTGTGATAGTCTCGGTTGTGCTACAAGTAAACATGGCAATTACTTTGCAGAATGGCTTTGTGACACGGCTTGTGGAAATGCCAAGGCCTTGTGATCCCCGATGTTCAAAGTGTTAATTTCAGATAGACCAATGAGGTATTTTTGCTCGGTATTTTGAGGGATCTTAATTTTAATGACACTTTATGTGTATACATTTTTCTTTTCTTACTTGTATCTCCAAATGGTAACATCAAAAGAGTCATGAGCACCTGGGTAAGCTGAAAATAAGCACTTGCAATGCTTTCACCTTCCCTCTTGTGCTGTGCTCTTCATTTTGTTTCTGTTGCATCTTTGGGTAGGAGTTGGAAAAAACAGTGAAGCCTTTAAATAACAAGTGTTGGGTGGGGCTTAAATGCCCACACTCCAGATCCCTACCATAAGTATTGGGCAGTTTTTTAATTTTTTTTTTTTTTTTTTTAAAAAAAAACATTTTCATTGTCCAGTGGTTGGGCAACAGTTGTATTCATAAAACAGTGACCTGTTCTAGTTCAGGCTGCTGAAAACAGCAGGCACTCTCTCTTAAATAACTTTAGGTTAAAACTCGGTTTTCTAGGACCTTGTTCAGTTATAGCCAAGCAACAAAAATCTCACTATCAACCTGGGAGAGCTGTGCTCACTTGGATATACGCTGTTACCTAGATTCCTGCTAAAAAAAGTCCCCATTACTTTCTAGGCTTAGCTTGTAAGGAATCACGACTTTGTTTGGATGATGCCTTGCTTTTGTCCCCCACCACTTATCTCATTTCTGGTTGGAATTTAGTACATGTTTTCATTCAACCTTCTGAACTAAAAGGTGCTCTGATATCTCCTTTTAAACATCTTAAATTGTAAGGTATTGTTGAATGTTGATAGGTCTTGAGAGATGTGGCTAAAATTGTGTGAACAGAATGTGTTTTCATTTAATTTATATTTACACAATATGTACATTTCTATATATTTACTTTTAAGCAAAACAGTCAAATTATGTGGGAGGAGGTCTGCTTTTGGTTTTAAGGTCTATTACATTATTTTCTTCAATATGTATAAAAAACCTCAGTAGATGAGAGTGTATCTTTATGGAATTTGCCACCAGAAAAAAGATTTTCAGTCTCTGTCCTCAGGGTAAGGTGAAATCTGAAATCTTTCATACCTTTGAAAATAAATCATTAGCAGGTTGGCCTTCTCAGGATATATATTTAGTTTCCTGAAATACTCACATGATGTCATTTTGATAACACGTGTGTTCATAGTTATCACTTTGCTGTGACAGTAGCTGCTTGCAGTGGCTCACTAGGACTGCGCTATAGAAGCACTTGTTGCTATAATAATGTTGGTTACAGCCAAAGATTGTTTTGAATTAAATTTCTACTTGCAAGAAACCTGTCATGGAGATGGCTGCTGAAGAAACGCTTTTGCATGTTTAATTTGGGAATGAATGAACTATGCTAGCAGCGTAATTTTAATGGTAGAGTGTGCATCTGAAGGCCTTTTGTTATGGCTGCACTGGTGGGGCTTTGGGTTTTTTTTTTTTCCTTTTTTTAGGCTATGATCAGTGATGTGAAGTGCACAGTCATAAGAGTCAGCAAAGCTGGAGCTGGGGTGCAATGATCCGTGATCGCAGTTCTCTGAGCAAACGGGCACAAAATATTCGGTGTGCAAAACCCAGCAAGATTCTTGGGGTGTGTTAATGAAGTAAAAAATGAGAATGAAGAGGGAATGCTAATCTTGAAACACTTCTTGAGTGAGGTGTTAATGTTAATTGAATGAGAAGTTCATGTTAATCATCGTACAGCTGCAGGTGTGAGTCTGGTGATTCGTTCAACTGCAGAATTTTAACGCATTCAAACCAATGCCATGTAGAACTCTGAATTTCGTAGTTTGAGAGGAAACACCGTTACTGGGTTTAATTCAAAGGGATGTTTTGCTAAATATATTAGAAGAGTTTCAAGGTTGATTGCCATCTTCTTGCTTACTTTGTGACGTATAAATAGTAAATCATGCATTTCAGTACGCAACAGAAGTTCCCTCACAATGTAAATTGGATTCTTTAGAGAAGCTGTGGTGGTGCCAGTAACTTCACCCAAGGAATTTTTACTGTGTTTTTAACACTTCACAGCCACTGGCTACATGAATGTGTTGTGATGGTCTTAATCTTTCTGTCATTGATTATAAAAGGTGAGGAGTGTTCACAGAATCACAGAATGGCAAGGGTTGGAAGGGACCTCAGGAGATCATCCACTCCAACCCCCCTGCAGGGTCACCCAGAGCAGGTTGCACAGGACATCGTCCAGGCAGGCTTTGAATACCTCCAGAGAAGGAGACTCCACAACCCCCCTGGGCAGCCTGTTCCAGGGCTCTGTCACCCTCAAAGTTCTTCCACATGTTCAACTGAAACCTCTTATGTTTCAGTTTGTGTCCATTGCCCCTTGTCCTGTTGCTGGGCACCACTGAGAAGAGTCTGACTCCATCCTTGTGACATCCACCCTTAAGATATTTGTACGTGTTGATGAGATCCCCTCTCAGTCTTCCCTTCTTCTGGCTAAACAAGCCCAGCTCCCTCAGCCTTTGCTCATAGGGGGGATGCTCCAGTCCCCTCATCATCTTTTTTGCTGTCCTCTGGACTCTCTCTAGGAGTTGCTCATCCTTCTTGAACTGGGGAGCGCAGAACTGGACACGGTACTCCAGGTGGGGTCTCACCAGGGCAGAGTAGAGGGGGAGGAGAACCTCCCTCGCCCTGCTGGCCACCCTCCTCTTAATGCATCCCAGGATACCATTGGTGTTGTAGCTACCTGCTTCAGAAGGGGATCAAAACATGGTATTTCATATAATGAAAATGTGATGTTGCTAGTATTTTATTCTCCGTATATGAAAAAACTGGTCAAGTTTTCTGAAGTTGCTGCTGACAGTTTTAGGAGCACTCTTCGTCTTGTCAAGATAATTTCTATAAGCATTAACCACATTATTCACTTTCCATTTGTATATTAAAAATAACATTTTAAAAATATTTGAGTGCCGTTCTAATTTCTGCCATTGGGCATAAGTTGTCCTCATTTGTGTATCATGCCAATACTTGTACTGTCCATCAACTTGTAGGCATCTGATTTAGATTCATTTAAATTTGATGTCTAATCTAGATTTATTTAGCCTCCTTTAATTAGAAGAGAGAAATAAGGGGGGTCCTTGAAGTGCAGTTTTGCATGCAGCCTACGAGAAAACCTTTCATTGGGGCCATACTGAAAAAAAACCCCAAAACCAGTAGATCCTGAAGAGAGGGAAGCAAAACTCTGAATTCAGGTGCTTAGAGGTTGTATCCTAATGCCTTCCCAACTTGTTTGTCATTCATATCTCCGGTGAGTTTCTGTTTTATTTCGGTTTTTTAACTATTTATATTTCTCTGTTAGCAGTAGGGGTAGAGAGAATTCAAGTTGTAGATATGAAAGGAGAACGATGGTCTTAACAGGACGTCCTTAAGAAGAGACATTAGGTCTTTTTGGAAGATGTGTTTGCAGATACGGATAAACACAGACAAGAGGTGATTAACATCGCTAATACCTGTGTATAGGCATGTATGTCAGCTTGCAGTCTGCTGGCTTTGTTACTACTTTTGGAAAAAACCAGTTCAAAGAGCTGTTGAAATTTTGTAGGTTCAGAGCTTTGAAATTAGGTTTATGTAGGAAAATAGGAAGCATTTCATAGCAACTTCTTTGAGTGCTGTGGTGTTTAAAGCAACTTGTTAATATCTTATTAGAAGGATTATTTATTCCCTTGACTGTCTTTTAGTGAGCAATACCAATACTTGGAAGAACAGATTAACAGTTCTTTGGAAGTGGTGATGCTGAGTAGAGTGCATTTTTAAAGGTGATTTCTTAAGTAATAACCTTTTAATGCTGTTTTGGGGGTTGCCATTCAGAATTTCTGCTACTTCTTGCGTTTACTGATTTGAAAAATTATAATTTTGTCACGAGCTTTCCGACTAAAACTTCCTCCAACTTAAAAACCAAAACCAACCCAAATTATTTCTGGCAAACTGCTTTTCCTGCAAAGGACGCAGCACCCTGGCCTTTACGCAGCAGGTTGGAGCGTTTCTGAAAGTCGCTCTGGTTCTGCCTGCTACATCAGCACAGCTCTCTAAACATCAGTAATCCCTGCAATTTCTCTTTGTTACTTTGAGGCTCTAATATTTTATGGCTTTTTTTTTTTTTTTTTTTAGCATTGAAAAATGGTAAGTTGAAATTGTATGCCGTTTAAAAAAAACCCCAGAACCCAGAGTGTTACTCCTTTGTCAGACAAACCCAGCATATTTTTGTTAGCAGTCCCAATTTTAGTTCAGGAGTGTTGGCAAAATGAAGCATGAGTCTTTTTGGCAGCTGTAGGGTGTTAGCCCTCGGTATGAGAACCTTTAAGTGACATTGAATCCCACTTCTGGTGAACCAGAGGAGTATTTGGTTCACACAGGGTCTGGCGGGCCACGTGCATCCTGCGCGGGGTTGCGAACAATCAGCAGCCACAGGAAACTGCTTTGCACCAGCTTTGAAGGGTGACAGAGCTCGTTGAAAAGCCGAGTGTAAAGCAATCGAGCGGAGGAATTGTCTCAGCTAGTGCTTTTGCACATCTGGGAAGCAGGTTTGTGTTTCATAAGGGCCTTGCCAAACTGGTAGGAGCTGGGTGTGTCTAGATCTAACTTTGTCTCCTGAGAAGCCAAGCTTTTATTTTGCAAGCAACGTGCTTTATTTTTAGAAGTCTTCAACCTGTTTGTTTGTTCAGTGGTTTTGTTATTTATTTTTTTTTAGGTGGTCCAAACATATGGGCCATCACCTCTGAAGAGCGGGCCAAGCATGACAAGCAGTTTGATAGTCTTAAACCCACGGGAGGCTACATTACAGGTTGGTTTGAGATTCTACATTACACATTAACTTCTGCGTACACGCAAGTATCTTTGTAAAACAGTTTGAAACTACATTCTATCTCTAGCTCTTTGTTGGGTGACTAATAACTATACTCTTTGGGCAAACAGCCATGGGTTATTACTAAACTTCTACAAGCTTTGGGTTAAAGCCTGGCACAGGAATGCTCTTTTTATTAACCCTGTCACTTCTGCAGCTAGTGCTGTGCTGTCATTCTGTCTAATTTCACAAACCAGAGAGTATCAGGCAATCTGTGGTTAGATGGGAGGCTGCCAAGGAGCACTTAGAGTTGCTATTGTGGCAAGTGACGCCAGAGACAGCCGAAGTGGCTCTCCTCTGTCTGATCAGTGTTAGAGAATACTGTGCTGTTAGATATCTTTGTTCTGGGGGAGGAGGCAGGGAGAGAGTTGCTGACAGCTTGTCCTTGTTAATGACTGCCTGAAATTTATTAACCCTTGGGCCTCCAGCGAGTTCTGGATAAGTTAATGGCATTTTGCAATGGCCTGCTGTTGGTTCCAGTTGCATTCAGCTGCTTCTCCTCTGAAACAAGTGGGTAGTGTTGCTGTGCACCTCAGAACTTGGAGGTTTTAAATTTAAGAATCTGCTCGTGACATCAGGAAAAGGCTGGATTTCACTTGCAAAGATGACTTAATTGAAGAATATCCTGTTCTTTGTGTGTGGGTGGGCACACAAGACCAGCCCTGATCATTCCTACCCTCCTAACTACCTGCTAATGCCCTGTCTGGTGACTCCACTGCCACTGCTTTTTCTCATTTTGGTCCAAAAAAGATTGAGGAAAGAGCGGGAAGTTGTCTGTGTGCAACAGGCACATCTTCTGGCTAAGTGATAGGTAACTCCTGCTTTGGCCAAACAACTCTGGGAGGTTGGTGTTTACTTTACCACCAGCTGAAAAGTATGTGAGTCCCAGGGACTACCTTCAGGCCACATCTGGGCTCTTACCTGCACGTACATCTGCAGGCTTCATTATTTATTCAGCAAGTGCTTGAAATGAAAGGCTATGTATGAATATAAGGGAAGAAAGAGATGAAAGAATAACCTGAAGTCTTAGCTTTAAGCATCTGTAATTTGCTCATAGATAAGCATAAACGCCGCTGTCTGTGTTTTATTACGAGTTTGTTTAACAGTGCAATCAGTACCAGTTCATGTGGAACTTAGTATGGAATTGCACCACAGTTCCCATTCCTTTCCTGAAATACTGAAATAGTGGATATTCTCTGATGGAACAGAATATTATTTCGGAAACGATATTTTACCAGTTTTTCTAGAGAGGTAGCACTGGCTAAAGTTAGATTGGATGAAGGAGAAGGAAACAAATAGCATGCATATCCCTTCCTGTAAAAGTAATTGGGTCAGGACTAAATTTTCAGTCATTTTTACTTCTTTAAATCTTGCATCTATTAAACTGTTGGCAGCTGTTGATTTGTGACATGTTAAAGCTTTTTATAGCTATTCAAAATCATTTCTCAGAGCAAAGATTCAGGATTACAGAATACGTGGGCATCTGACAATCACTGTCACCAGGGAAGGAGTTGGGTGGTGCAAAACTGGAAAGCTTGGCATCCAGCATGCTGCTTCCTTTTGAAAATCTGTCCCACATCAGAATGCTGAGGTCTTCTGAAGGTCTATGTCTGTAGTGTAAAAGTCTGTCTGTCTGTCTTGTTTATCATAGGTGATCAAGCACGTACCTTTTTTTTGCAATCAGGTCTACCAGCTTCAATCCTTGCTGAAATATGGTAAGGTATTCTTTACTTTTTTTTTTTTTTTTTTAAGGTGTGAGATGTGTAGCATTCAAATACTACTTTGGTATGTTGTGTTGTCTCAAAGAGGCTTTCAGCAGTCCAAGCAGGAGTGTTGTCTGAATCATTGTTCTTATTTTATTATAGAGGAAGGATCGAGCCCATATGTATACCAACACTTAATTAAAAAGCAGTATCTTTTTAATCTTTCTTATGATGTTATGAGTTCAAATTGGACCATATTGAACACAGTCTTTTTAAACTACAGTAAGTGCTTGAAACAAAAAGCGATGATAAATTGCAAAGCTTTCATAGAGGGAAGTGCCTGTTGGACTGCCACAAAGGTCATTTGTAAGCTTTGTCTTTTTATTTTAAATAATAGTATGGAAAAAGAGGTAAAAAATAACACTTTGAATAATAATACAGAAAAAGAGGTAAATAATGGGTTAATGAATTCCTGGAGATACCCAACTGAATTATGTTTGAAATATTCATAACCACTAAAAAATTACAACAAGATTAAGTGTGGGAAAAATTACATGCTACTAAACTGGGAGTGGAAAATACACCGAAAGTAGAAGACAGGAAAAAATCTAAAGCCACAGAAAATGTTAGGAGAAGGTCAGTTATAATACACTGTAAGATACGAATTAATGCTGTAGTACAGGAACTGGAAAAAGTGCTGTTCTTTGCAGCATAGATGGGGTGGTTACAACACTTGAGACAGACGTTTTCTCTGTAACTCGGGCTTCACTGGAATACTGTGTTCATTTGGGGGTACTTGGTTGTTATCAAGATGTACACATGCTAAAAGGCGCAGAGTGGAGGCTCCTAATAATGAAGAACAATTCACTTGTGAAAGAATATTAAAGAAACTAACTCACTAAATGCAAAGTTAGTTTCTTCTTCAGACACTTAAAGTGCCTAGAAAAGAGTGGTAAGGGAATTTCTGTGTAGGGCCTTGGGGTTTTATACCAAATAGTAACAGAATGAAAGGAAAAATGTAGCTTAATATTAAGTCTGACCTTTCTTTTTCTCCTGATTTTATTTACATTCCTGTGTCTGGTCCTCACATGTTTAAATTTTAATTAGATTAGATTAATAAGATTTTATATTTTCTGTCTAGCCAGCAATTTTGTCTGTTTATGTATGTGCTGTTGCATATATTTCCCATTGTATTCAAGTTTATTTGCAAAAGTGTCTTCCTTTGACACTGGATTAAAAAACGCCACTATTTGTGAATTAATGCAGTTTTCATAGTGGTATACAGTGCCTTTAGCAGGTTTCTGCATCCTCCTGTTTCAGATTCTTGGATTAATTCCTTACATTACCAGACATTAATTTATAATCATTAATCTGGCTAGTAGCATAGAAAGAAGCATAGCAGAGGCATATCTGTAGCAACACGTGTATCCACTGAGCAGGCGACTACTGCTTTTCTGAGTGTCTTCCTACTTACTCAGGCGTTAAGTATTTAATGTACAGCAACTTTAAAGTCTGTAGAAGACTACCAAATGAATTATACTTAATACAGCTAGATGAACATTATGTTTGGAAGTCCAGGTTGACCTTCAATGTCTGTAGGTTGGCAAACTAGAAAAATTAAGATTTGCAAACTTCCGAGGGTTTGAATGTTGTAAAAAAACCCAAACAAACAAAAAACCCGAAGTCTACAAATGGTTGCAATAAGTTTGTTGTTTTCTTGTACAAAAGCAGTAAATAAATTTGATAGAAAAGCTTCTCATTATGTGAAAAAGTTAACTTTATGTTTCTTCCTTGTGGGCTTTTTTAATTTAAGTTTTATTTTATTTTTAAGGACACTATCAGACCTGAACAAGGATGGAAAAATGGACCAACAAGAGTTCTCTATAGCCATGAAACTCATCAAGCTGAAACTGCAAGGACAGCACTTGCCTGCAGTTCTCCCTCCTGTCATGAAACAAACCCCAGTATTTTCACCTCTAATGTCAGCTCGCTTTGGTACTTATGAATATATAATTACTTAGTGTTCAGAGGTAAACCGACACGGTTAATTGCAGCCAAATACAAGCATTAATCTGACCACAACAGCTGAGTGAATCAGTAAAAAAACCCCAAGGATATTCTGATTTAGGAAACTCTCAAAGTCGCCTTTCTTGACATTTTTGGTAATTTCATTCTTTGAAGATATTTAATAATAAAGAAAAACCTTCTACTGAATTTTGACGTGAGGTCCAAGAAGGCCATTCTCATTTGCCATCTGACTTGCAGGCTGTCATCTTGTACTGTGAAGGCCTTTTTTTGTCTCCCTCCTACTCATTCACCTATTTATACTCCAGGTTTCTAAAGTTAAACTAAGTAAAGGTCAAAGTTTTGGTCGAACGCTTATTTTAAATATTTTTTTCAAAATCAATCAGATTATCTATTTTGGTTATATGATCAATTGAGTATCATTATTTTAACTTTTTTGCCTTTTCTGACAGTGTTTTGGGATTCAGTGCGTGCCTGTTGTTACTTTGTTGGTTTGTAGAACAAAATATACGTTGATGACTTCAGCTGTATTACAAAATTAGTGCATACTGCTATGCTGAAATTAAATGTATGCACATATTAATTACATACTTGATTTAAAATATCAGCCCATTGGTAAATCTTGTGTGTTTGTATACAAGTTCCTGCATTTATAGATAGCTGTGGTGGGCATACGATTACTTCCTATTAACCTTCCATCACAGCATCTGCATACTGTTGTATTCCAAAAGATTCTGCCAGTATTTCAAGTGCCCTTATTCGCTTCAGGCAACGGCCTTAAAGAAACCATTTTCTAGGCATGGATCCCTAAGTGTGGTCTTTTCACCTGTATAGGTTCTTCCAAGGCTGAGGCTTGGAAGAGACTTAATTCAGAAATGGTATCAGCTTTTTCCTGTAGAGGATTGTCACAACTTTCAAGTTGCATTGTAATTCTCTCTCAGGGGCCAGATGTGGAAAGGCTTGTTGAAGAGCTAGTTATAGCTGCAGTTATAGAAAACTAGGGCTTACTCTTTTGTGAAATACTAGCTAAATCTACCTTGAGACTTAATTGCTTGTAAGAAGCTTTTTTTTAAAAAAAGAATTTGTGTTCTTCAGTATGTTTTCCTCTGTGAGCTGTCTTATCTAAACTTCAGAGAAAAAGTAAGTATTATACACAAGCATCTATTTTAGCTCATTGTACCTCTGGATGCAGGTTGCATTGTGTAGTTTCTGCCTAGCATAATAGAGCCAATTTCTTGCTGGAGCCTCTGCAGTATTAAATCATGAATTGTTGGTTTTTGCTCTAGGAATGGGTAGCATGCCAAATCTGTCCATGCCAACGTCTATGTCTACGATCACGCCATTAGCTCCCATGCCTCTGACCTCCATGACTTCCATTCCTCCTTTGGTTATCTCTGCTCCCCTGGTGCCTTCTGTCAGTACCTCCTCATTGCCAAATGGAACATCCAGCCTTCTGCAGCCTTTGTCCGTACCTTTCTCTTCAAGTAAGTATAGTACAGTGCAGTACTCACTTGCAGAATTGTGAATCTTACTTTCTCTATGGCTGATTTCAGCCAGGAATGCTAATACTTGCATGTGATATACTGGTGTGTTTTTTTTTTTTCATTTTTTTTTTTTTCCAAAGTTCACATTTGTCGAATGTTTTCCAACTAGTTAATCTTAACAAGGCACTGATTCGATTTTCTTACTTCTACCAAAGCCTTGAGTGTTTACTACAAAGCATTGCTTTATACCCAGTTGCTTTACAGTTTGTTTTGTTTTGTTTTGTTTGTTTGTTTCAGCGCTGCCTCATACTGGTTCTTTAGGTCCCATGGCAGGAGGGTTTGGTGGTACTAGTATGCAGAAGGCACAGTCACTAATCGATTTAGGATCTAGCAGGTATGAAAGTTAAGTTTAAAATTATTATATCTTAAACTTGAGTAGTATGCCTTCCAAAACTTGTGAAGCATTTCTATTTTCAAAGTATGTTCATTAAAAATTAGTCTATCTAGTATGACCTACCAAGTCTGAAAATAGATTGTTCTGATATGCACAATAAATAATATTTTCAGTAAATCTGACAAAACTATCTGAAGTAGGTGAGATGTTCAAATGAGTGAAAACAGTGCCAAAAAGAAGGGAATGCCCCTCATTAGTAAACAGAAGTAAAACTTAACAAGTGGTTATAAAAGCAATGTTTATGGATTGATGTTCTCGTTCATTATAGGGGACACCATGCAATTAACAGGCATGTAAGGATAGTATTTGTTATAAATATTTATGTGTCTGTTTTATGAATAATAGAAGATTATGAATCTTTGTCATCAGCTGCTCTATTTCACTGACTTTAAAGCTTCGCCACAGACAAAGCGAGGGACTAGGCTTATCCTTCCAACTGGGCATTCAGGGAACAGTCTCCCAAAAGACAATCCAGAGGGCATCTCAGCCCCAGCTCAGTTCCAGAAGGTGATTGCACCTCTTTGCTGCTGATAAAGGCTTCTAGGATGAACGCATGTCTAACTTTGGGCTCCTCATACAGGCAGACATCTGATGCTAGCAGATGTTTGATAAGATGATCGCAGGCATGGTGTGTGCCTGTAATAATCTTTTTTTTGGTTTTTTGGTTTGTTTTTTTTATCAGAAAGCTTTGTTTTGCTGGTGGCGTAGTGATGCAGAGTAGGTCTTCTTCAGTATTACTGTTGACAGCATTTTCACCATCATGTTACCTAATTCCATGCAAAGGATGTCTATCCAGCATCGTGCCCGAAAGGTTTTGTTTATAACAGCATTCTTCACTTTATTGCCTTGGATAGCACTGCAAATAGTTTTTTACTTGACAGAGTAGGGGATTACTTTAAACAAGGCAGGCTGGATGCACCTGGTTTTGTCTGATCTTCAAAGATGGGACACTGAAAATGCTGGGAGCTGCAGGTAGAAGTTATATAGGTATAACTAAACACTCAGTGCTATTCTGCAGAAGCTGAATGAGTTGGAGAAACTCCATTCAGCCTGTCACTGTCATTAATAGAAAGAGGTAGAGGTGGAATATAGTGGCTTTAGCAGCTTTAGAAGCTGCTTTTGGTTGTGAGTTTATCAGATAAATTTTTATGCTCATGTTTATTCATTTGCATACTAAAGTTACTTAGACATCTGTCCAATGCTTCACAGCCATTGTAAACATTCCTGTGAAATTTGAGATGTTTTCCTACGGTTTCCTATATTATTCTGCAATTGTGGACCAATGAATTATGTAGCATAAGTGCCTGTGCTACCAAGGGATCGGGATCTCGAATTTGTTTCCTTTTAAATGTGTGTCCCTACCTTCACATCATATTAGTGATGAAAACATTTATAGCAAGTTAGCAGAGTTGTGGAAGTTGTTTCAAGTTACCAGAAGATGCTATGTATCGTCTATTCCAATGCCCATTTATTAAGCCAAGCAACTTAGAATTCTTTCTCTCTATTTTTTTTTTAATTCTGTTACAGTTCAAATTGCTCCTCTAGTGCTTCACTAGCTGGAAATTCACCAAAGATTGCATCGTCAGATTGGGCAGTTCCTCAGGCCTCCAGATTAAAATACAGACAGAAATTTAACAGTCTTGATAAAAGTATGAGTGGATATTTATCAGGTGAGTATGGCATTTGATACGGAGGGGGAAAACCAGCAGTGTTTTCTGCCTCTGGAATGTCGCAGGATGAGGAATGGAATCCCGGCTTGGGATTTGACTTCCATATGAAATAAAAGCTGAAATTGTTGTTCCAGTCAGCCAAGAAAGGGAAATGGGTATCAGTTTGTTGGCTCGGGCTCTGTGTTTCCCCTGGAGGGGCCTGAGGAGGCAGCAGTCTCCCCAGGTAGACTGGGGAAGCTACAGTAGCAGTTGAGGGGATGAAAAGAGTGGCAGTGGTGGGATCTAACTAGAAGAGCCTGAGAACTGTAAGGCTGGAGAAGTTAGCTTGATGAAGTCGTTAGTCATTTTTCAAGCATCACGCTTTGGACTGAGACTCTCTTCTTATGACTCTGATCTAGATCTGATCTAGTTAGCAGTGTCCCTGCTCACTGCAGGGGGGTTGGACTAGATGACCTCTAGGGGTCCCTTCCAACCCAAAACATTCTATGATTCTATGACTGTAAAACGGGGGATATCTCACGATCATTTCTGTGCCGTGTGCTTCTATGTGTATATATATTATAATTGCTTAGATGTTTTGGCTTTATCTTTTCAAAGAAAGCAGTTCAGGAAAGATACTCCAGTACTGCAGCTGTTGATTGGAATTTTTCAAAAGAAATTGAAGAGTCATTCCTTGTTGACTTTCAGTGACGTTTTTGCTGTGCCACAGCATTATAGTGGTTTCGAAAGACTTCACGCAAAGTTTAATGCAAGAGTAGAGTTTTATGAAAGTTCTTATAAAACTGGATTACTCCCTGTACTGCAACGAGTAGAGTGCTGGCCAGGCAGTTGGTAGATAGAAAGTCGGTGTGTATGCCTGTAGCTTGCTAGATTTCCCATTTTGAACAAGCCCTTACCAAGCCTCTGCCTTGGTTTCCTAGCCTACAAAAAAGGAGGACAGTTCTCTCTTTCAGGAAAGGCACTCAATGCTTTTTACCTCCTTCAGTTGATTTTGGGCTGAAGGTTTCATTGACCTGCCTAGAAAGGTATATGGTTCTTTGCTATCAAAGGAAAGCTGACCGCTTTCCAGCATGCTAGCTCAAGCTTTAAGTAGACAGCTGTGCTTTTGTAACAGCTGTGGGGATTACCCTAAATACCCATTTTTCATGTCAGTTTTTCTGTTAGGTGCTCTGAGTGAAAAGTACACAAGAATACTTATATCTTTATTGTGTTCAGGTTGTAATGCCTGTTGTTAAACCTGGAAGTAATGCCAACTGTCAGCCACTGATGAAAATGGATTAGATTAATATTAAAAATAAACATGCCCCAGTTAATGACCCATTTTCTTCTACATGTGAGTCTTTATTCAAAGTATTTATTTTTATTAACATTTTTTACACTTTCACTAAGGTTTTCAAGCAAGGAATGCCCTTCTGCAATCAAATCTTTCACAGACTCAGTTGGCTACTATTTGGTAAGTTTAGAATATGAATTCAATATGTTCATGGTATTAAGAGAGGAAATATACTTTATTTAATACGAAATGTTGACGGGACACTGTAGATCTAAAATAATAAACTGAAACTAAGCCACTTCTGAAAATAGTTTGTTCATTAGTACATTTCAAAAGACACCTTGACACAATAGAATTATTTTTTTCACTCTTTGTGTGTGTTTGTTAAACTTCATATAATAGTACAGATAACTTCAATTTCCGATTCAGTGATGCACTAGTCTAGCTGAGATGAGGGTTTATTAATTTTAAAAATAGGATTCTGAAATCAAGCTTGATAGTTTTAAAATATGGAGAAAGATTAAAAATGGAGTAACTCTTCAGATTTTTAGAGTTTTACTGTGGTTCCAATAAAGATATCTGCATATTACATATTTGTTAGGACTTGCCTTTACTGTGCTGATGGAAATGGTTACAGTTGTCTGAAGGGTTGAATAATCTGCCTTCACCCTGCTAGATATGGTAGTTTGGATTATGCCTTCAGGCATAACTTGGATGTTATACATAAAATGTAGTGTCAAGGTAGAATTCACAATAGCTTGGCACTTTACATGTCTTTCTGAGTTCCCTTTCTTCCCGTTTATCCCAGGGCAGTCATTTGTTTTTCTCTAGCAGCAGCAAGCTGAAATATTCCTTATATTCGTTCAGCTTCTTTGGTTGCATGCCATAAAAATGGACTGTCAGATTGTATTCCTCAGTTCTGGAGTATGGGGAAATAAAGCAGGTATATAGTGACTGTGTTCCTCCTGGGTGCTTAGCCTGAAGATACTTGTAGCCAATGTGAGTACGTCTGTGTACCCATGTAGATGATTAGCAGCCTAAGTTTCAGTTTTGCCCAAAGTAAGGAATTACCAGTATTTCTACTTGGATACCATATTCCTGGTAATTACTGTAATAATGGTACTGTTATGTGTGAATAGTGCTGGTCTGTGAGCATAATAAAAATCTTATTTCATCATCTCCTGCTTTTGTTTTTCACTGCGGGGTGTGTGTGCAATGGTTTTTTGTTTATTTTGTTGTTTCCTTTTTGGTTTTAGTGGGTTTTTTTAACTGCTTTTTCTTTTTAACAGTCATTTTATCAAGCCTTTCTCTGAAGTGCAGTCTAAGGA